GGGAGTGCAAAGTAATCAGCTACATCCAAATGCATGAAGTCTAAATTATCTTCAGAAATAAAATTTGCTTCAGCATTTTTCTCTGTCTTCTTCAGGGAGGCTTGATAAAGCTCAACCAGGTGCTTTGGCGTACGACAGGTACGTGACCAGTGCCTTTTTCCACCACATCTATAGCATGCATTTTCTGGCTTTGCTGTTTGCACCGCTTCATGCTTTTGTTCCTTCATTTTCCACTGTTGGTGGTGAGGAGGGTTCTTTGGTACATTATTATTACCATGATTAGAGTTTCTTCCCCGACCACGGCCATGACCATGACTGGGGCCACGCCCTCTTCCACGCTTAGGTTGATGGAAGTTTGTCTCATTCACTTCAGGGAATAGACAAGAACCAGTAGGTCAGCTTTGATTATTTTTCATTAATAGCCCATTATGTTGCTCAGCTACAAGAAGATGTGAGATAAGTTCAGAATATTTTTTGAATCTCATCTCTCGATATTGCTGCTGCAGGAGCATATTCGAGGCATGAAAAGTGGTGACAGTTTTCTCCAACATATCATGATCAGTAATATTATCACCACAGTTTCAATTGGGAAATAATTTTGAATATAGCAGAATTATACTCACTGATAGATTTGAAATCTTGTAGCCTTAGATGAGTCCAATCATAACGTGTCTGTGGAAGAACGACCATCTTCAGGTGGTCATATCTATCTTTCAAATTATTCCACAGTATGACTGGATCTTTAATAGTAAGATATTCGATTTTCAGGCCCTTATCAAGGTGATGACGTAGATATATCATTGCTTTGGCACGGTCTTAATTTGATGCCTGATTTTTGTCCTTAATGGTGTCTGCCAGACCCATCGCATCAAGATGAATTTCGGCATCAAGCACCCAAGACATGTAGCTTTTGCCCGATATATCCAGGGCTACAAATTCAAGTTTAGAAAGATTTGACATTATTTAGAAAAAGAAAGTTCGTACCTCTGATACTTTCAAAGTATTTGCTCGAGATGGCAGAGTCTCGTGCTGATAACGTGTTATAAAATAAAGACTGTAAAGTAAAGACAAGTATAGAGAGAAACTGATATATTATTCAAACTTCAAACTTCTGTACATAATGAACTGAAAACTCCTCTATTTATAGAAGAAAAGAAGTAGATGTGTAAGCTGCTACTGTAAGCTGCTGTGTAAGCTGTTTGCAAGCTGCTATTGTACTAGATATAGATAATCTTCTACCGGGGGTAATGTTTATCCATAACGGAGTACCAAAATGATAAGCTTCTTCAGGAGGCTTATTTCCAATAGAGTACTAAATAGATAAACATATTTACGGCGGAGTCTCATATGGATAAACTTCTTCAGGAAGCTTATTTACAACGGAGTAATGAACATCCATAATATAATATATTTATAATACTTATAGAATATAGACTACTTTTAGCCATCATAAATTTCAATAAACATACGAAACAATGAAAAATGAGGACCACAACATAGATAACCATACGCTTTTAAGGAGCTTTTGAATTCTCGAAATTATCATTCCAAAATTGAGGAAAGCAGCCTCTTAGGAAGATCCGTAACATATCATTGATTTGTGATCCCAAGGGTACAATTATGTACATGAATACACAGTTCTGACTTTACAAACTACTCAAGACAACTTTTCAATTAAGATGGATACAATTATGATGGAAGCAGTGCCACAAACCAGCGTTTCTCCAAAAGGGAAAGCAAAATCAAGAAAGCTGCTTTGTTTATTGGGTTAGTACCTGGAATATAATCGAACTTCCTAGAGCTCAATGTGAAGCTGTGGGTCATCGATAACCCTCATTGGCTTCCAATCCGATTCTTCTCTGGGCTGCCTGAGAGCAACAAAATGAAGTGCATCACTGCGCACCTGGTAGATATGACATGCCCAGGGATATGAATCTGGTGCTGACCAGATCTTTTGTTCTTCAAATACTGTCTCCTCAACCAATGTTTCTGCAACACAGTATGCAGCATTTGGTTCCGGCTCAGCAAAATCAGGTACAGCCACACATCCAGGAGATACAAAGCCCTCAGGAGCACGAGGATGCCAAATTGATACGGGATTGGTGTAGTCATCTGAGCAGTTCCTCCACACCAGGTCATAACCGACTGGGAGGGCGAACAACTTGTCAGAATAACGGTATACAGCTGAAACATTAGGAGGGTGACAACCAACACGAGTAATATCCCCAATTGAGATGTACCCATCGGGTAAACAGGAAGGGCGCCAAATACTACAGATTCCACCATCTTCTGAAACATTCTTCCGGCACAATGTACAACGACCTTTCAACTCTCGTTCACTGCTCCATACCTTGGAAAATGTGATAGCATGATGAACAAATTTTCTTCTATCAGAGACAGCACCCCAGGAAGCCAGCTCCCTTGATTCAATTATGGCCTTTTTCTGGCTAAACGAATCTCTTCCATCATTATCATTTGAAGCAAAGGATACATGTCTCTGGCTTGAAGGAACCTTTAGCTGCAGACATGCCACGTCAGCTTGGTGTGCTTTCCATATTTTACGCACAACCGAACAGATTCTTACAGCTTGAGGCACCTCAGTTTCTTCTTCAGTGTTGCACTTTATTACACGGACAAACTTCTGAGACCTTCGGAATTTTTTGATATGGATGATCAAGTGAGAAGGTCTAGGGTAGCCAGCTTTTGCTAATTCAAGTGCCATGAGTTCTTCCCAAGGTACATCCCACATGATTTTACAGGGCTTCATGTCCATCTTATCAGCAGACACACACTGGAGGAGCATTACACGTTTATTAGTCACTAAAACAATCCGCTGATAGGGAACCATAAAGTGATTTTCATAATAATCAGACAAGGCAAATTTAGAAGGCTCTTTAAAAAGTTCAGTGCAACC